CATATTCGCCGATACCGATATATCGGCGACAGGCTCATATCGGCCGATAATATCGGCAAAACGATATATCGGTCGGGCTCTAGTATAGACATGTTGCAAATATGGCAAAAATGGAAACATTTGAATTCTTGTCAAATGAGAGAGGCTCGTGAGCCCAATGCCGTTTCAGTTTTGCTTGACGTTTGTGTGCTGTTTATAATAAATGCCACTAGCCTATAGCGTGATTTTTTTATATTATAGTTTAATATATAATTTTATAGCTGCTTCTTTTGCCATTCTTGTTCTGTAATACCGTTAAATGTAAAGGATTTGTTGTAGAGTGAAAGGAACTAAATAGGCTAAATAATGTTTATGTTTGTAAAGGTTTCCTTGTATTTACCTGTATTTAATATACATATAAATTAATGTAATTGTTTGCAGTTACAAGGTTAATAGATCTGCACTCGTTTCTATGTTAGATTGATAAATGAGGCCCATTATTTCATTTGAAGGATACAAATTGTTCATAATGTTGTGTACTGTATATGAATCATTCAGACAAGAAACCACTGAAAAAGAAACTTGGAGAAACAAATTAAAAATTTGAAAACTTAAAGGTTTTTAAAGTTTATTTTTGATTTAAAAAAAAATCTAAAACTACATCTGGTCTAACCAGATTATTATCTCATTATAAGAATCAACTGAAAGGTAATGGGTCCCAGAGGAATTCAAGATATCACAGTCTATCAAAATATGCTTCAGAGATAATGGACTCTGGCATAAGGGGCATTAAAGAGGATCTTCATTTATTAACAAAACCCTAGGTCTAGAATGGCCTATTTGACAGCGGGAACAGATAATTTAGTCCTACCAATTTAAAAAATGCATATAACATTTCCACCAACCACAGGATTGATTTGGTAAAGTTTATTTGTACTTTACTGATCCCATTTGGCTCACCAATTTTTAAGGATATTCATGTTTATAGTACAGTAGGATTGAGGTCTGAAGGTGGAACAGGACATTTTTTGAGCCTGAATGAATGGATGGACGGACGGACAGATAGATAGATAGATAGGTTTTAGAATAGGTTTTTTATCTACATTTATAAAATATTGCAAAAGCTTTACGCAAATCTGTAATGGAAACCTGGCTAATAACCGTGATATTTGAAATGCGGTTAAAAAAAGTGTAGGATTTTTTTTTGTACATTTAAAAAAAAGAAAGGGCGGGAAGTACTGATCAACAGGACGTTCTTTATGTACACTGGTTACGGTTACAAACTCTCTCAAATGCTGTGTTGACAGGATGAAATTCTTCATTCAGATAACACATACCCAGCCCATTAATTAATTATGTCAATACAGAGAAGTTGTATGCTAAGGCTGTTTTGAGAAGGTCGAGATGCATCTAAACACGACAGACAAACTAAAAAGTTGATACGTCAGCTGGTTGAGACAGCTTGACAGAGACTTCAGCACAGCAGTGTTCACATCCTCTCAGCCTCGACACACTTCCTCATGATGACATGACCATATGCCAGGCCCAGCTGAAGATGAAAGCACGTTCCTCTGCTCTGTGCATTTAACGATGTTTAAGTAGATCACAGAAAAGATGGGAATGTCAGAATTTCTTGCTGTTAGGAGAACAGTCTCCGGAGAATTTACATACATGTGTCAGCGACAGGTGTAAAACATTTAGTGCAAGTGAGCGGGAATATTAGCATCTTTCTCACAGCGTAGCGGGACATCGAACATCACCTTTGACATGCAGACTCCCGTAATGACTTTGCTCATGATTTGCATCGCATTTTCTTACTCAACATGAGCTGTCGGGAAGGAAGAAACAACACAAACCGCAGGAGGCATTTCTATCACTGACTTTGACTATATCTCACTCATTCATTTATCTTCTTGTCTCTCCTGCTGCGAGCAAGTGTCTTTTTAGCGAGGCTGCCTCCTCGAGCACTGCCTTGCCTCCTGCCTCCGGATTCTTGTTAATAGACGTGGGAGATGTTGAGGGGATCAGTGATAAATAGCCTCTGGTCAAAATGACTGCCTGACTGACTAACTGACTGTCTGAGGAAAGCCCAGCACCTTCTGGGAGAAAACACAACTTGGCGACTGTAGCTTCCGTTTATTAAGCGTGGGATGGTGAAAGTGGGGAACAATGAAGGGGAAAATGGAAAGATAAATAAATGTTGAATATGACTCCTGAGTGCGCTGGCTGGACAGACCTAGGAGGGATTTATCTGCCCCCCTAACAGTCAGCAGAGTCACGTGAAGAAAGAACTTAATGAAAAAGAACGTGGGGTGTGGGGGGGCAGAGATAGAGAACACAATCTTCGAATGGCACTATTAATAGCCTCTCCTCGAAACACAAAGCACACACTGTAGTATCTGCCCAAGTGGCTGGGTGAAAAAAGGCAGAATTGAGATGTGATTTTCAATGTTACACAGGCTCCTGCAGTCCAGACATTGTGTGACTGTGCAGTGTCGCTCTAGGGGCATAAATGATTCATTTAGGATTCCTTGATTTAGAGATAAATGTTAATTCTTATTCAGCCTCATGGGGCACAAAAGTGGAAAGAGATTAGACAGTGGAAGCATTCCACCATGATCAGAATTAAATTCTTTACTCTAATTCTCAATTCACAATTAAATTAAAAAGCAGATTTTGATTACACATCATTTTTTTTAAAAAGTCAACATTAAATGCTGTTTGCTTTTTGAGTGAAACAGGACATATTTTATGTACAAAAAGGAGGACAGGACATTATCCATCTAGATTATGGTGATAAAGCGGGTGGTGCATACTAAAAATGGAGATGGGGATTTGGTGGAAGGAGTTTAAAAATGATGTCAGACCCTGAGCAAGTTATTACAATTTGCAGACAATAAGTAATTTTATGTTGTGTTTAACCTGAAGGGGTCTGTTTAGAGAATTTTACTCACTTGTTTTTGGAAAAGGTCTCCCACACATTGGTGGTGACTCCACTGCTGCACTCTGGGTAAAAGGCTATCATAGAATTCTTTGTGGATCTCGTAGAGCTCAGGCACTTTAAAGAAGATGGTTTCGATCTGTTGAACAGTCAGGACAGGCTGGGAGGTGGTGGCTGCTGCTTTCAGGGGCTTCATGGGCTGACAAAGGAGCAGGAACAGACATTTGAACATTTTAGTGACAATATAATCAACTATACACCATTGTTCAAAAAATTGAGGTTGGGTTGGTAAGATTTTTTTTTTGAAAGAAGTCCCTGATGCTCTTCAAGGCTGTATTTATTCCATCAAAAATATAGCAAAAACAGTAATATTGTAAACTATTTTTAAAATTTAAAATAACAGTTTTCCAGCTTTAAAATGTAGATTATTTTAAAATGTAATTTATTCCTGTGAAGGTAAAGATGAATTTTTAGCAGCCATTATTCCAGTCTTCCATGTCACATGATTCATTAGAAATCATTCTAATATGCTGATTTGGTGGTCAAAAAAATGTATAAAAATATATTGTAAAAATTATTAAAAATGTTGAGAAACCATAATAAAAAACACCTTTTTCAGGAATCTTTAATGAACAGAAAGTTAAAAAGAAGAGCATTTGTATGACAGAAATCTTTTGTAGCATTATAAAAGTCCTTAAACTCACTTTTGATTAATTTAACGTGTCCTTAAAAAGAGTAGCAGTTTGTTAAAAAAAAAATCTAATGACCCCAAACAGTAGTGTAAATGCAAATATATGTATGACCTTCCTTGGACTCCATATACTAAGTTTCAGTTAGAGTCTGCATTTGGCTTAAATTTGCCCTGCTAATGTACATCATCACAAACACATATTTATATGCCATTAAATGTATGACTTTCCTGTTGCTGTTGATGGATAAGATCATCTAATTTTAAGCTCAGTGGCATAATCACTCAGCTGGCCCACACATCTCCCTTATAAGACTCCTTGAGCAAATTTAATCACGCACCGTTAGCAAAATCAAACTTGAGGCACTTTTACCAGTAATAGCGCCTCCAGATGGCTGAGGTAGGTCTCTTCACTGGCCAGGATTCCAGACAACACCCTTTTCCTCATCTCCAATCCCTTCTCCAGGTCCAACTCCGCCTGCATGAACACAGAAAGAGCTCACACGCTTCTGAACAACACACTCTTAAATCACATGACATTAAATTATATACTGGCAATGCTGAAAAGAGCTATAAAAAAGTGATTTGGCACTGGTTCAATGGAGCTGCTTTATGGTCTTATAATAACTGTCTTTGCTACATGAGAATCATGGGAAATTCATAACACCTTTGAACTGAATAAGGCCTTTATGTAGTCTACACTATTCACAAAGCCCTGAGTAAAGCATTAGAGATACTACAGACCTAGAATCCATCCAAAAGCAAGGCATATCTATTTTATGTTGTGTGTAGGGTTACCGAGTGCTGATGATGGCTGAGTGGGCCTGAAATGTTGGTTTCCATGGCCACAGCACAGGTAGTGGAAACCACAGATGTTTGTGATAGTCTCATGAGAATTTCTAGTCCAGAATTGAGGATAAAACATCCATCTGCTTCATGACTGTGTTATCATTGTAGACTATACTGGCTTGAATTGAGTTTTTAAGCTGAGCTGAGGTGATGTTAAATTGCTTTCACTGCATACATTTCTTCTAATCTCACCAACTGATATAAGATGTAAAACCCCACCTGGTGACAGAGTAAATCCCGCCACTGAAAGCTTCAGCAGGGGGAAGGTGGAAATCAAGGTTTTATTCATGAACTCTTGGGTGCTAGACGTCTCACCCCAGGGGGCACCCCTGTATCTCTAGACCACCATCTTTTATTCAGCCACATATTTATTAATCAAAGCATGTCAGCGTTCCAGCGCATGAGAATGAGTTGAGCTCATCTCAGATGATCAAACAATAACCCTCGCTTACTGAAAGCACAAGGACGAGAAAGCATTTCTCATCATACACAGAACAGGCAAAAATTACAAACGGCTCCGATGAGAAAGAAGCAAACATGTTTAAAGAACATACAAAGTACAGTGTGTCAATAACAACTAGGATTATATAGATAAATTATTAAAAATATTTAGCCACAAGTAATTAGATGACATATTAAACATAGGGTATATAATAAACGAGTTATTATAAACTTGTTTGATTTACATTAACTTTTCCCATACCTATTTTTCTACCTGGAAGCTAATGAAAGTTGCCCCACTTTTGGATTTTCATTTGTCTTATACTGTATTTTAAAATGCGACCTAATAAAAAACCGGTTTGTTACCAACATGAGGCCAACGTACAGAAAAGCTATAACTTTCAATTAGTGCTGTCAAACGATTAATCGCGGTTAATCGCATCCAAAATAAAAGTTTTTGTTTACATAATATATGTGTGTGTACTGTGTATATTTATTACATATATATAAAGACACACATATACAGCATATATTTTGAAAATATTTCCATGTATATATTTATATTTATATAAATTATATCATATATAAATATATTTAATATATAATTGTAACATATTTTTCTTAAATATATCCATGCATGTGTATGTGTGTGTGTGTGTATTTATACATACATAATAAATATACACAGTACGCACACATATGTACAAAAAACTTTTATTTTGGATGTGATTAATCGCTATTAATCGTTTGACAGCACTACTTTCAATATAAAGTTAAAGAGATTTCTTGAACACAATAATTTGCTTATAGAGAAGTCCAAATTCAATCTTTTGGAATTTAAATAAAGCACATTCGATTTTTTTGGCTTAATTTGAATAGAGTGGCAATCTAAAACAGCTCTTTGTGACAGCATGACAAGACTATTTTTAAACATGCAATTTGCACTCATTGAAATTAAATCTGGTTCTGTGTTTGAGGAGAATGTTTCTGAAAAATGGGTGACCATCCCTCTGTAGTGTCAATTGCAGGTTTATTTGCAGCTCAATTCAAGACATTTTCATAGCAAATCCCTCTTTGAATCCATCCATATTTCAAATCCCTGGTTGTGTGTATGTTGGGTAAACAAGTAAAGCGTGTAGGTGTTACTGGGGAAGAGTGCATGAGTGAGTGCAGGTGAGTATCTACTCTGTATTGATTAAAATTAGGGCTGCACGATAAATCGCATGTGCTTGTCATGCGCATCTCGTCAGTAAAGCCGGTTCTGTGATTAGTAGTAAATCTCCATCACGTGCTTTCAGATGGAGTGGCATTTAATACACAGAGCCGTAGTTCGCTGACAAGCTATGCAATATCGCGTTCATAATCGCAGATGAATCGCATTCGATTATGAACGCGATATTGCGTAGCTTGTCAGCAAACTATGGCTCTGTGTATTAAATGCCGCTCCATCTGAAAGCACGTGATGGAGATTTACTACTAATCACAGAACCGGCTTTACTGAGGAGATGCGCATGACAATCGCATGCGATTTATCGTGCAGCCCTAATTAAAATCCATGTGGGAGCTAAACACAGAGGTCATAAGGGCCCAAATAAACTGCTTGCCTCTGGGCCTGGTATTGGCAGGGAGGGACATCAATCAATCTGACAGCCAATGGCTGTGTCAATGAAGCAAGAAAGCTCTGTTTTACAATCAGTAATTTAATTTGATGGCCACTATGCATGATGAAGGCTCTGAAATGAAATGAAAGCCATGATAATTTTAAACCATAGTTGATAACAATAGAAAATAGAAAGGATTTGTTTAGATCACGCATGACTGCATGCAATGAACGATGTGAGATTCTTCTGCACAGTGCCGAGCTATATAATATTTACTAAGTTGCGATAAGCACTAAATGTTCAATTAGAATTGTACTATGCAGACTCAGCACTTCAGAATCTGCAAGCTTTGAAATCTGCCAAATTTCACAGCTCACTGGTTTTGTTGTGTACCATTACCATGGAGGCTATAAATATATGTGGGTTTACTGGTACAATTATTCATAATGAACTGCTTCATAGATGGCATATACTTGGTGGATTCCTATCATGGATCCATGCATGCATAAAGAAATCTCTAATACGTACTCTTTACCTTCGCACACCACCAGCAAAGCATTCATCTCTCTATGCCCAACAAAATATGACGATTCTGACTCGTCATTTGTGGCATTCTGCAGTCAAATATTTGTTTAATCAATTATTTTGTATTTGTAAAATAAACATAATTATTCAAAGGCCAAAAAAATCGAAATGTCAGATTCATCACTGTCTGGCCGGCAAGGAGGTGACTTACAGACTTGGAGGACTCAATCGAGCCGGAGGAGAGAGTGTCTCGACTGCTGCGGCTCTTGGAGCTGAGGTGAGGGGAGGAGGAGGGGGAGTCGTCGATGTAGGGCAGAATGTCATGGTGTCGGCGCTGCTCCTCCGCTCGATCCGCGTCATAACCATAGGTGGGCGGAGTGCCTGTAAACGGACCATCTGTGAAAAGTAAGAAAAAAAGGAATATGGTTGACAAAACCAAGTGGAAGAACAGCAACAAATTATGGAACGCAAAACATCTTTTGGACCATGCTTACTAGAATGAACTGCACAGAAATAAAACTACTGATTGGTAAACAGAGCTCATGCCCCATGTCTTAATGTCATCCTGTTTCAAATTCGCAGTGTTCAACTGATTCATTTTAAGTGGCAGTCTAACATTAGCCTAGAGCTCTTAAAGGGCAATGAGATTATGTCTGGAGTGGGTTTTAAGTTTTGGTATTAATGCAGACAGGCCAGAACTTTCTGTATGCATTAAGATCACAAATAACTTTATGGCTTAAAGAGTTTCCCTCACCAGAGGAAGAGATATAAAGGGAAGACAAACGCTCTCATTCCTGTAGAAGAGCAGCCCAAGTTCCCTCTTCCTGGACCGGTTTGGCCATTAAGCTGCTGGCAGCCGCACCAGAGGATCTCATATTTATTCAACACAAGCTCTCAGTTAAAACTAACTGTAACTGCCCTCATATAAGACAAGCACATCTGCTAGCCTCTGGTAGGAATATGCAGGGCATTAAAGGGTAAGTTGTTGCAAACCAGTGTGAATTTCTTTCTTCTGCACAACACAAATATTACATTTTTGAACAATGTGGGTAACCAAAATGGTTGCTGGTCCCCTTTAATTTCACTAGTATGAAAATACTATGCAAGTCAATGGGGACCACCAATTGTTTGGTTACCCACATTCTTTAAAGTGTCTTCTTTTGCGTTCAGCACAAGAAATAAATTTGTGCAGGTTTGGAAGAACTTGAGGATGAGTAAATGATGAAAATAATTCAAATGTTTCAAAAAGGTGACAGCAAAAATGCACTGCCAGCTTTAAACAACTGACAGACACAGTGAAACTGTCAATACAAAGTCATTGCTGAAGAATCCCTCCCTTGTTTTTCAGTTTCCTGTTGGCAGGTGGGAAAACTCAATTGCAGTTTGCTAATTGCACTTTGCACAACTTGTTTACTAACATGTATTGACCTGCATGAACATATATCATTTTGCTTACTATGAAATAAAACTTATTGAAAAGTCACTGAACTATTACATTTCTAAAAATAAATATTATAATAAATAATATATGCACTACCATCCAAAAGTTTGGGGTTTGGGATGGTTTTGAAAGAAGTCTTTTATGCACACCAAAGCTGCATTTATTTGATCAAAAACACAGTAAAAACAGTAATACTGTGAAATAATTAAATATTAAATTTAAAATACCTGTTTTCTATTTGAAAATTTAAAAATGTAATTTATTTCTAAGATGGCAAAGCTGAATTTCAGCAGCCATTACTCCAGTTCTCAGTGTCACATGATCCTTCAGAAATTATTCTAATATGCTGATTTACAGCTGTAGAAACATTTCTTATTATCTTATTATTATCTTATTATTATTATATTATTATCTTATTATTAAACAGCTGCTTAATGTGACACACTTTTTCAAGATTCTTTGGCTGCGTTTACACTTGGCATTAACATGCAACCTGTATCCGGATGTTGTCCCCATACACATTGAAAAGACAAGTGTAAACGCGCTTCTGATTGGAATGTTATCCGATCAGCGTTTCCTGGTCCAGAGGTAGTCGAGGACGCATTGTGATCGGATCTCAGTGTAATGTTTAAACACAATCCAGCCATCGTGTCTGCATTCGCAGGTCGACATCACGCAAAACGCCGCCCCCTCTCTATATCTGTCAGAAGAACAGAGCGCTAGTGAGACTCGTACATTTATTTTGATTTGTAAAATGTCCCACGACTGAAAATAGTTTTCAAAAGAAAACCCACCACTTCAGGTCGACTTTGCACCGCATGCTTATTTAAATATTGCGTGGGAAATACAGATCCGATCGGTTATCCAGATCGAGAAGTCAGCTGATGTTGCCAAGTGTAAACGCGCCATGTCCTGATTGACTGACGATCCAATCTGCTTGATCAGTTCACGGTAGGGGTTGAACGACTTCTGATTTTTTGAAGTCGACTTTTATGTGATGAGTCGAGTCGAAGTCGACTAGTCGCTGATGACGTCATTAATGAACAAATAAGTCTGGGGCTGTGACAAACACCTTGTGCACAGCTATGGCATATGACACAGCGCTGCCCACATGGCTGTTGCTCCTATAACAGCTTTTTTATCAGTTCTTTTGTCTTTGGGTCGTTATATTTCTCACAGATTTCTGCTCGTTGTAAATCAGATACAGATAAAGTAGCACAGTAAAGATTACATTAATATGAATGCATTAGTGAGACAGCGATTGCGTGTGTGAATTAATTCTACCTGGCAGCGTCTCTCTACTAGTAGTGAAGCTGTGGAATTTACTAGTTATTAAGAAATATATGCTTGAACTTTTCAGTTTTTAAAAGCTATTTTATTGAGAAATCACAAAACAGTGTTGACAATAAGCTTAAAGCGTCATGGCAGAGCATTGAAGTTGACTAGTCGATTGGTCTGTGCAACCCCTAGTTCACTGTGATCGCATGTTAATGCCAAGTGTAAACGCAGCCTTTGATGAATAGATTAATGGTTTAAAAGAAGCATTTATTTGAAATAGCAATTTCATGTAAGTCATTACTTACTATGCTTTTAATAAATTTAAGGTGCACATACTAAATAAAAGTAGTTTCTATCCAAAATAAATAAATAAATAATAATAATAATAATAATAAAATACCTTACTGACCCCAAAACTCTGCCCAGTACTCTATTAATGCATTACATGTTTCTTTGGCCAACAGGATTTTTCTTTCTAAATTGTAGCTTTAAGTTAGAATAAATTAAATTCCAAATGATTCATTAATTAAAACATCTGTGAAAACATTGACAAAAATTGTACGCATAAATATGGCCGTATAGTAGGGCTGCACGATTATGACAAAAATCATAATTGTCGATTATTCCCTTGAAATTGTAATTGCGATTATTACTTACGATTATCACGATTTACATTGAATGATGTTTATACTAGGGATGCACGATATATCGGCCACCATATCGGTATCGGCCGATAAATGCTCATTTTTTCTGTTATCGGTATCGG